GAAGCAAAAAAATTTCGATCCAGTAGAGGACGGGGATGAACAACTTATGGAAGAACCCCTGCACCGTCCCTCCTTCGATAAACTGCAGGAAGCCATAGACCGCCTCCAGGACTACATACAGCAACAGTCGGAGGCATGGAGGATACATGTTAGAATCAGGAAATAACATACGAACGGAACAATGACAAAGGCTTTCTTTAACAAGGCAAAGGCTAGATCAAGGGTCAGTATAGTCCTTGGACTCAACCACCCGCTGGAGGACAATGGCCCGGTGGCTACCAACGCATATTCCATAGTTGATTACGCTACCAAATACTACCGGAACCTACGCTGCCGAAAAATAGTGAACGCGAACGTAATTTTCTATTATATATATATTTTTTATATATAGGGGGGGGGGGGGCATAGGTGGTGTCCCTGAACCCCCTCGGTATCTGCAGATCCATCATCTCTGCAATGGTGCTGCTCCCCCACCAGATCCACCCCATCCCCCCCGTACCCCCCCGATAGAATGTCTATCACAGTCTGTGTGTGTTGCCCCCTACCAGCCACACATATGTGACAGACTGTTTGTCACAGTCTGTCACAATCAGTTTGTTGGGCAGCACACACAGACTGTTTCACAGACTGTGACAGAGAGTCGGTCACATATGTGTGACACACACATCTGTGATAGACAGTCTGTTGGGCTGCACACACAAACTGTGCCCAACAGACATTGCAACACACAGACTGGTGGGGGCCAGCTCACACAAAGTCTGTCACAGTCTGTGTGACAGAGTTTGTCACAGTCTGTGTGACCGACAGTCTGTGTGACCGACAGTCTGTCACGGTCTGGTGGGCAGCACACAAAATGTGACAGAGTCTGTGTGCCACCTACCAGACAGATTTTGTCACTTTCTGTGCGCTTCGCACCACATTGTGACAGACAGTCTGTCACATAGGCTGTGACAGATTGTAACAGATTGTAACAGATTGTTTGACACACACACACACACACACACGCACATACACTTGGTACACTCACACACACACACACACACACACTGACACACACACTGCAACAGATTGTGACACACTGACTCACACGCACTGACACACACACACACACACACACACACACACACTGACGCACCCATGCACACACTTACACACACACTACACATACACACACACTGACGCACCCACACATACACGGTACACACACACACACACACTGACGCACCCACGCACACACTGGCACACCCATGCACACACTGACGCACCCCAAGGCCCCATAACCCCAGCCAGAACCACCACCGGCGACCGGTACCGGACCCCGCGAACGACGTTTGTGGCCTCCAAAAACGCGTTCTCGCGAACGTGTTCGCGACCCATTCGTGCGAACACACGAACGCGTTCGCGCGGACAGGAAACACCGCGAACACGTTCGCCGTGCTACGCAGACCGGAACCTCTTTACATCCCAAACACCAACAAAACACCCAGAGGAGGTCATGCAAGCGAGAGAAACGCTGCTCCAAACTCTAAAAGTACAACTCTCATAAGATCAGAGACAAGAACTAGAAAAGCGTCTCACCCCACAGGAGCTCTGGGCGGCCCTGCAGGACATGGAAGATGAGAAGACACCAAAAAGGGACTCCTTCCCTAAAGAGTTTTGGGTGCACTTTTGGGAACTTCTTAAGGAGGACCTCATGAAATACAGCTTGTCGGTCCAAAAGGAGGATTCGTTTGGAGGCATGATCGGCCAAGGTGTCACTACACTCCTTTACAAGAAAGGGGACAAAGAGGACATAAGAAACTGCAGACCTATCACCCTCTTGCTTGTCCCCTACAAAATGGTCGCCAAGGCGCTAACTAATCGCCTATTCCCGTTCATGAATGTGCTAATACACCGGACCAAACTGAATTTATGCCTAACCGTAATATCCAGGATAATATCTTGCTGGTCAATGTGACCAGCAAATATGCTCGCCAACATAATGTCAGGGCAGCTGTCCTGTTCATAGATTTTGAGAAAGCGTACGATCATGTGGATTGAGACTTCCTAGACATGTGCTTGGCCAATATGAACTTTGGACCGGTCTTTAGCCATTGGATTCAGATCCTCTACCGAACAACCTCCACAAACGTCATGCTCAATGACCATCTCTCGCCACCAATACAACTACAAAGATTTGTGCGGCAAGGGGATCCCATTGCGCCTTTGCTGTTCGTGATTGTAATGGAAACCCTGACCTCGCTAATCAGAGCTCACCCCGATATTGCCAAGATTCCCATCCTGAAAATTCCCCAACATCTGGTCCCGGTGACATCACTCTTTGCAGATGACCTAACGGTCCTCATCAGTGCGGACCCAGACAGCCTCAGAGCCCTCACCCACGTGATACACTTATTCTCGCTGGCAGCAGAGATGAAAGTGAATTGGAGCTTCAAAACGGAGGGATGGTGGTTCCACCCGAACGCAGTTCCCCCTTCTCAGGAACTGATAGTGGCATGGGTCCAAAAGGAAGAGGCCATAAGGATTTTGGGTGTGAGACTCACGGTACTAGGCCCGCCACCAGACCATGGAGACATGGTAGTAGACACAACCATCGACGGACTGACAAAATGGGAAGGGCTACACACCTCACTGGTAGGGCGTGCTCTAGCAATTAATAATGGTATCCTGGCGGCAATCTGGTACAAATTAGCCGTGTGGCCACTAAAAAAGCAGCAAAGCGCCAGACTTAGAAAGACGCTCACAAAATACCTGTGGAAAAACAACGCCAAATTGAATGTACAATGCTGTTTGAATCGAGTGAGTTGGGACGACCTCATACAACCAAGAACCAAAGGGGGGCTGGGGATATTAGACCCAAAAAGGGAAACTAAGGCCCTGATCTTTAAAATCCTGATCAGACTGTTGATAGGCAATGACATATCATGGGGCCCGCTAGCCGGTCTGCAAATAGCCAACCTGGCCCCGGAATCCACCACGGACAGTCACGTTCACCCCTTCCAATGGTTAACCAATAAACATTGGACAATCCCCTCCCCCCCGCAAAATAGGCAAGGGGACACCCCAGCCCAACAAACCAGAAACGACATGACCAATGACCCACTATGACCCAATATGATCAAGCTCTGGAGGCGATGTGGACTGCAACAGAAGCAACCCACCAGGTGGCAGGATATCTAGCGCCAACCACTTTCCAGAACCCCTACATTCTGGACGAGATGGGTACCCCTTTCAAACTAACAACAAATTCTCCTTGGCTCACATGGGCCAAGAAAGGGGTCTACACAGTGGGGAACCTGTGGGACCCGGCCAGGGCAGACTGCGCCACGGCGGACCAACTGCAACAAAAACTAAAATATGCCAAGAACGTGGAAGATAAAATGATCCAATTGAAGGAAACCCTCCCCTTGGCTTGGAGAAGGGCCCTCGTAAAGGGTCCTGTGGTGCTGCCGAATGACCCGCACATTGTTTATAAAGTCAATCGTAATGATGAAGGCCGATGTACATTGCATGCTCATGAACTTCAGGGGCCGGGGGCCAGATTCTCCCAACTAACAAGGAATGAAGACCTGGATGCAATTGAAATGTGGGCTAATGCTCACTAGAGTGGTAGGCGACGTAAATAACGGTTTTTTTGTGTACGAGCCCACAATCCCGATTGCTAGGTTGCCGTTTAACCCGGCTGAATGGGAATGGCCTGGCACAAAGCCTATGCAAGTGTGCAAGTATACAGTAAAAAGGGCCTACGGAGCCTCAAAACCGGAACTGCCAACTGATCAAGTGATATCACAAAGATGGGAACGAGATTCACAGATGAATCACAAGTTATTGGATCATATACCATGACCTACTTACGCTAAGATTATGCCTACCAACCTCAGGTCCCTGCAGTGGCAGATTCTGCACCGTTGCTTCCCCACCCTAGACTGGCTCGTGTCAAGAACGGATTTGGAACAAAAAAACCTGATATCTCCCATCTCCACATATTGAGGAAGAGCGTCGCCGTCCGCTAGAGCAACAATCGAACACTGCTTGCTGGTATGCCCGATGGTTATGCAACTCTGGCAGTGGTGGGATGCAACATTCCACGCGCTTACAAACATACATATCCTGTGGGACCTGGGCCTCCCGCTGCTTGCTAAGAACCAACACCTATTGGCCCAATGACCACCTTTTGCAACCAACTTTTTCTCCTACATGAGACTGCACGTTCTAATGAGGGCCTGGAGAGCCAGGTGCTCGTTCGAAAGAAAAGATTATAGATTCGGCCTGCAGCAAACCCAACAGGCGATAGAAGACACCAGTAGATCCCACACACAAGAAGCCTGAAAGTCCTTTAAACAGAATCTCTGGGAACAGAAAGATCACGCAGTCAGACAAACCATGATTAACAACTTCCGCCAGCTATGGCAGGACCCGAACAAGATCTTTTCAGAATTGGACACGGGGCTCGACATCCACTGGAAGCCTTGGAGGCCCACAGAACCCACTTGGCAATGCAAGCCATTCAATGAATTTGAAGTCTCGTATCTTCAACCCAATTTTGTACTGGTCACAGATGGACCCCGCACGAGTTCCACCCAACCCGCCCGCCAGGTTCCATTCCCCTCGCTTCCACCTACGTCCCCACCCCCTTCTCCACCCCCCCACCACCTCCCTCCCTCCACCCTGCCAGCCAAGGTTGACGGTGATAATGGAGGTCTCCAGGTTTGAACACTCGACAGAACCACCATCAACAAGGCAACAGGGACAGAAGACAAGCAGCAAGAGGTCAGCCTGGAAGCCGATACAGAGACCAACACAGCAGAGGACGGAATTGCAAGACCCGAACAAACGGGTGGGGAATACCCGAGCAGACAGGTGGGGAACGGACAATAGCAAACAACACAATGGCTCCACAAAGGGAGCACCAGATCTGATGGCACTATGAAGACAAATACATCCAGCCTAAGGCCTGGAGATGGGGGAAAGAAACTGAGCGACCCTGTGACGTACCAAATAGATTCAGATGTTCTTTGTTTGCAGCTCCGTGCTTGGTGGGGCCCCAATGCTGTATGATATGGGATGAATGGATATTGAGAAGATGTAAGGCTTGAAGAGTGTAAAAGGGTTCAAAGGGCTTAAAGGATCTAAACAAGGGGGGTTGCTGGAAAAGGCGTCGGTGGCTTCCCTTACTGACTTGAACTGCCGCGTGTGCAGTGTCATGATCGCATCAGTGGCCTTTTGGGCCTCCTGAGGATCGTGCCACCTGTCCTCCACTATCTTCAAGAAGTCCTCCAATTTCTGGGTGACCGCCCAAGCGCGGAAGTTATGACCATACCCCTGGAGCTGCACTAAACCGCTCAACCATCTTGCTGCGCTACCCTCTAGGTAGGAAGCAGCCACAAGCACTTCTTCGTGCGACAAGGTAAATTTACACCTGACGTAGACTGACACTGCCCTCAACCACGTGTCGAGGTCTTCGCCCCTCTTATCCCCTGTGAAAGGTTTGGGAGCGGCGATGACCGCCTTTTGGAACCCACTGCGTTTGTCCCGGTCCCTGCATCACGGCGGGCTGTGGACCCTGTGACACAGGTTGCTGTGCTAGCGGCTGGGGCTGCGTGCCCTGCGGCTGCACAGGCTGCGAGACAGCGGGCTGCGTGGTGACTGCAACCTGCAACGGAGTTTGAGTGAACATTGTTTGAACAGGAACCTGCAAACTAGTCCCTGCTGATACCCCTCCTGACAACGACATGCCCAGGGAAACGATCGCAACCGATGATGGAGCTACATATGGGGATACCCCAGTCACCGGTGGGACATAAGGAAGAGGATGTGCAACGGGCCAGGCACCAAGCCCGGACATTGGCGATGTTGCCTGCGCACGCCCAACCAACAGGGCCAGACTTTGCTGGATGTCCTGAAGGATGGTTGTGTGATGGTCCTGCATCCCAACTACATTCAGCAGGACAGACCGTACGAGTCTCATATCATCAGGCACGTTCGTCAGGTCCATCTCCTCTAACTCACTAACGTCCGCTTCTCTACGTTGCATCCTGGCTCTTCTTCTAATCATTCTATCTTTCTGCGCTTTTATTTCTCCTAACGCCTTCTGTAGTTGTACCTCCTGCAATGATGCTTGTTGTATGGCGATCTCATCGGGAGTTAACACTAGTGACTGGCTCGCCATGACGCCAGTGAACTGACTCTGGGTCTGCGCAACCGTTGACCCAACAGACCCTGAACTACCGGCCTGAGTAGACTGCTGCGCTGCGGTGGCCATGGCTTCTGAAGCTGCGACTTCACTCACAAGTGCCCTGCTAGCCTCTGCTGCTCTAGCCCTCCGCTGCTGCCTCTCCCTAAGCTGGCGGAACAAATGTCTGTCGCCCTCTGGTCCTAATGCCAAGTGGGATACTGGGCGCCTTGCCGATCGCAAGATCCGGTCGTCCGATGGCTGTTCCTCCCTATCGCTCATAAGCTACAGCCTTGTACACAATCTGCACTACTACACTCTAGGTGCCTACCACAGTGTAGTGCACAGACCAAATGACAGGTGGCTATTTCGAAGACTTTACATTCGGGTCAACAGGTAAGTCAGGTTCCTACAAATAAAACTATTTTTAGTTTGACTAGTCCGCAAACAGAAGCACCAGGAACAATAAACAGTCCTAACTAATGTTGTCTGTCACATGTCAATGGTTTTACACCTAACTAATCTAAACATAAAAATATAATTATTTGTGTGGATAGGACAGCATGGAATTTTCTCGAACTTATCAACTGGAATTTACCCCTCCCTTAGTTCCCCTGAGTATCTCTTCACGTCACCGTCCCTGAGCAATCCGGAGGCGTTGCGTGTCTAAAGGTGTGTGTCCGGCCCACCCCTGTGCCCCGAGTATCTGTTGAGCTAGCCAGCCCTGCAATGGATTATCCTCGCGTGCAGCGGGCCTTACAACCATTGGCTGATCCAGAGGCAGTTTAACGTCCGCCCCCAAGTGACTCCAGAAATTCTTTTACGTCCCAGTCGGACGACGATCACAGCCAATGGTTCCCCTTCCGGTGCTTATTTAAAGACGGCCGGTCTCGTCTCCCTCAAGGGCTGGCCTGCCCAACAGTACCCATCTAACAGCGCAGCAGCTGAACAAAGGACAAGCATCAAGGCATGCGTGCTCTACTCCCTGTGGGTTGGCATGGTGACCGTGACCCAGTGCTTCGTCCAGAGCCCTTCAGAAAGCTCCGCCCATCTTCTCCCAGATGCTCCATGTGAGCATTGCCGACTCTCAAGGTTGAGCCGCTTGAGTGCACTCGACACCTCACAATGAGAGGACTTTCAAGAAGGAACACACAACCTCACGTTAAGAAGTGTCGGAGAGGGTAGATAAGGTTAAGAGCAACGTACCTCAAATAGTTGCCCCCAACCATAGAGATAATCTCACCAGATGACCAAATGGCGATTGCGATGACCAGTCACTGCATCGGCACAACCAGCATTATCTCGCCTTTCCACCTCAGCATCAATCACACAGTAGATAGTTCTCATCGCACTGTCCAGACCACATTAACACCATGTAGCCTTCCTGGCGAACCCCTCACCTCCTGGGTTGCCACTCACTCGCCTCTGCCCTCCTCACTACACACCACTTACGGCCAAACTCGCCAAGCAGACCGCATGTATGTACCGTACCAGGCAGAAGACAAGCGCGAGATGAGCGCAAACGTACCACAGCTCCGATACCAAATTGCAAGGAAGATGAGCAATAGCGAACTTCAGCAATCAAACAGCATCATACATATGAGTCCAGATAGTCGTGACCTCGAACCAACAGCAGAATTGCATCACGAGATTCACCAAATAAGAACACACCAAGAGTTCATAATTGACAATGCTGAAATAGTCCCATCATCATCAACGAAGAACCAGAGTTGATACCCTATCTGGCGCTCGACGCCCAGACTACATGTGGCAGATCCTATCTAGCCTACACTACGATCCCGAAAGATGACGTCAACAGCATTCCCGAAGTACGAGCATATGGCGACCAGTGTCGCACGCTTCCAGCACCAGGTATGTCTCTCGCCACACTCACAACCTCGTTCCCCAACACACAGATGCCACTAGCACCCAAGGACCACCCTGCGCTTCACCCAGCTTACAGCAGCGCAGCTCGGCTATGGCTGTGTCTCCTTCCCTGCTCGCCCGTGAGAGCGTAGGCGCCAGCCAGCAAATAGCGCAGCAGCACTTGCGCAGCATGCAGCCAGCACCCGAATGCCGAATGCGGAGGCAGGCCCTTTGCTATATCGAAGTGGCCTGCCTGCGTCCAGTCCTAGGAAGCTTCCAGTAGGCCCCAGCTGCATGAGGCCCAGCACGACGAAAACAGGCCTTGGGCCTGAGGTGGTTGCCTGTGCCCAACTGTCTTTGGCCTGTGTTTGGCCCGGTACCCGTATCCAGCCCAGGGCCTGCTTCACATACATTCACACAGGCGGCCCAGGGCCTGGGTTCACTCAACCAAATGGCGCTGCGTAACTGCCTGAATTTCCCTGAGTTGCGTGGTGGCCAGAATAGGGCCCTGAGGGCCTCGTCGAGCCTGCCTTCACTTAGGGCGGCCGACGGGCTGCAAAAATGGGGCCTTATGGGGCTCATAGAGGCAGTGGCCTCGCAGTTTTTTTTCTTGTCTTTTTTTTTTTTTCTGGTCGCGCACCGCACCGCGCTGTGCCACAGCTGGAAAAAAAAAAAAAAAATACAGACTGTCAAACGCAAAAATAGAAAGGAAAAAAAAAAAAAATTCAAAAAATAAGAATAAGGGGGCAAGTACGTTGGACCTATGTGACACCCGCGGCCTAGGCCGCGGGCATTTCGGTCGCTGCGGCCGAGATTCTCGGCCGCGGCCGTGGCCAATGAGGCCCAGTCCGCGGCCCGTTTTTTCAATATTTTTTTCCTCCCCCTAAAAATACGTAAAAAAAAAAAACAAATTATGGGGGTGTAGGGCTTGAAAAACCCTACACTCCCATATTTTTTTTTTGGAATCCGACTTTGTTTAAGATTTTCAAAAAATCAAAAACTAAAATCGATTTAAATAAAATAAAAAATAAAAATATAAAGAAAAGCAGGAATTTTTTTTTGCCATTTTTTATCACGAGATATATGGTCCCTGAGTACACCTGTATTTTTTTTAGAATTGGATTTTTGTTTTTGCCAGGGAAATGAGATGCCGATGCAAAATTTTAAAA